AGTGCTGATCCACACTACACCGCCTCGAAGCTACAGTACTTCAAAGCAGACAAAAACCCTTTCTTCGGTCTGCGGATCCCTGGGTTTCTGCTCAAACTCGTCAAATCTTCAAATCCAGCTGGTTCGCATTGAGAGAACTGTCCCTATGGTTCAGCAAAACCCAGCTGGACCTACCCCGGGGGCAAAGCCGAGTGTAGGTAAGGGTCCTAAGAAAGCCCAAAAGCCACAGAAACCAGTGGCCGGTTCGCCCCATGAAGGAAAGTCTGACGACTCTCTCGAGACGAGTCAGACGGCTGAGGGCACCGAAACAGACGCTGAGGAATCTGTCGTTGAGTCGTCAAGTGATGCCCAACCAAACACTGACGATGAGGCATCCGAGAGCGTGGGTACGGATAGCGAGGAGTCTGGCTCTGATGATGATGACGACAATGACAGTGAAGACGTTGAGCACACCTATGTTCTGATCCGAAAAGGAAAGCTGCTTGTCGAATCTCCAAAGAAGAAGAAGATCACTGCTGAAGACGCAGCACCAATAATCACAGGCAGACCCCAAGTCTTCACTATCAAAGAGCTGGCTAAACCAAGAACCGATCCCAGAGAAACAAACTGCTCCAAGGATGACTACGATGAAGCAGCTCATACTATAAAGAATTCCAAAGACGTCAGCATCCGGGAGAAAAAGGCCAAGATTAAAAATGAAAAAGCTGCTAAGTCAAAGCCCCAGCCTCGCGTCCGAAAGAGCCTCATAGATAAGGTAGACAAACACATATTCGCCGGCTGTGATCCCTTTATCCAGATAAGCCGAGCCGAATCCTTAAGTACAGGAGCCGATCTTTTCGGTTCCCGGGTAGAAGTCGCAGCATCTGGCTCAACTGCGCAAGCACAGCCCTCACCTAGCCACTCGATAGCCTCTCAACAGGTTATCGTTTCAAAAACACGGGACTCAACCCCCTCACTGGTTCCTTCCGAATCAGTTGAGCGTACTATTGACCTATCGCCCGAGGTCAAAACCCCTTCTTCAATCACATCGAGTCTAGGTGTCACTTTTCCTACATTTTTTTCTTTTTCTAGGACACCTACACTATTCACAGCATATACAGGTGCACACACCCTGAAAGCAGCAACCAGAGCGCAAGCTATGGCGGTTGGAAGCCCTGTTACGCCCTCAATGATCCCATCATTGCACGCAGGCCACACATCAGTTATCTTCACTGATGCTGTGACAACAGTTACAACCCCCGTAACTGGACACCCAACCTTTGAAGACATCAACGTTCTGCTCAATCGCTTCCTAGATTCCACCATTAAACCATGGGGGCAAGATGCAATGACCGCTCTAGCACAGGAATTTAGGACCACCCAAGCGGTTCAGTCTGAACAACCCCCACCCCAACCTTCACCCGAACCCTTCATCTCCCATACACAACCCGTATCCTCCACCCCTCTATCTCACCAATCCATCAACCAAATACCCGTTCCTTCACATTCTCGGGGAACCCAGGATACAGAACTAGTATTCTCCCCACGCCCGACCACACCCTCCATCGATCTCTCCTCACTACCCTTCGAAACCCTTGCATCGGCCTTGCTGGACAATCTTCTAAACATCCCTGAAGCCAAACTTACCCTTCACCAGCAAGCCATTCTCGAAGCCCTCCTTTCTTCCCCCGAAACCAAAAGCACATGCAAGGAAAGTCCTCGTGGTCGCAAACGTTCCCATGAGGACCCCGATGATTCGGATCCTCATGAGGGGGAGAACAAGCGATCACGACTACTTGAGCAAACTGCTTTACCTAGCCAAACTCTACAGCCCATTCAACCAGAAACCTCTACCAACCAACAACCACCACCCGCAGCCAAAATCTCTAGCCTGATCGAGCTAGACGTAACATCCCGAGGCATATCTCTCAGAGATACCAACCGAGGTGGGGATGGAAGTCCTGATGATGCTACCACTGGTACATCTTTGACATCAGGCCATCAGTTAGAACCTAGTTCAAAGCTGATGACAACGGGAAATCCTAGTGAACCCGGTGTTTCGATTAACAGGTCTCCGTCTCCAAAAGGTCAACCTGCCACTACCATTCTGTCGTCAGATGAAATGCATGATCAGCTAGAAGATATCATTATTCACGACAAATGGCCCAGACAGTGGACGGAGATGGATCAAATCATGTAGGATGAAGAGTGTGAAGATATGCAGAGGAACTGGTTTCTACGAGAACTCATCAACAAATGTGCCGAAGATATCATCAAGCTCGAGGACGATGAACGAAAGGAAGGGGAGAACTACAAGGAATCTCAGAAAACTCTTGAATCCGTCGTCAGACAATCAGCGGGAAGACTTCCCAAGACAGAGAAACCTTGGGAAAACGTTCGAATCAAAGCCCCCTTCCAAGAGGAAATCAGAGAGCGTATTTGGCGTAGACCAGACAAAGTCAAACCGTTGAATGAACTGAAGCTACGAGGCCTTACCCATCTCAAAGGAAAGCAGACTGGAGGTCATCTACATATGTTGTTGCAAAGGTCAACCAGTACTCAAAGAGAGCTGATGGAACAAGACTTGAAGTCCAATATTCTCCCTATTCATCAAATTCTACAAGTTAAGGCCGAGGATTATCACGGAGTGACATTCTATTCTTACAGGCTTCAACGCACTGACGGGAGTGAATTTACTTGCCAAGAAAATGATTTCATCATGCTTAAACCAGACGACATCTATCAAATGTTTATGGCTTATCGATATCTTCCAGTCAGGCAAAGCAAAACTTACAGCGAAGGTCTTGCAGCAATCAAAAGATTAATGCTGAGACAAATCAGAGTGCACTCATCTCACGACCTACAGATGGCTATTGAGTGCAACTTGACAAAAACAAATCTGACAAAGCCAAGATTGTATGGTCCAGAACTCGAAGACTTTCCAGCGTATCACATCTTCTTCACACCGCCAGCAGTCACATATCTCAACCACAAGAACGAAAAACGCCTGATGGTGGTTAATGAAATTGAGAAATATTGTGATGGAACGCTGAAGATAATCAAAGAACAGCTTCTAAATATGAAGGCACAGCTAGAGCAAAATCTTCAGGAGGCATCGTCATACGTTCAAAAGGAACACTCTACAGTGGAGACCATTTTAAAAGCCATCGACGATCGCCTAGAAAAGAGAAACATGCTAAGGCAATACGAGCATGCACTGAATATGAGGAAGCACTATTTCAAGTCACAGAAGCAATAACTAAGTGGCACTTGATCACAAAGGAGGAGATTGTTGAAGATCATTTAATTGTGAATCAAGTTTGTCATCTATTTTGTAATAGATTAGCTTTATTATTATTCCTTGTATTAAATAAGTGCATGTATTAGATAGAATGTGGGCCAAGTGTTAGGCCCATATAAACAGGCTAAAAGCCTTTCACGCCTAACCTGAACCTCGCCTATAAAAAGGGAGCCGAGGGTTCAGGATTAGGTTAACTTTCGTACTTGTTCATTATAGCCTTAAGCGCATATCTTTCTGTGTACGAGTTCACGGTCTATCAAAGAGGGTTTTACATCGATTCATCTGTGTTCATCTTTACGTTTATTCTTCTTTGTTAGACTGCTATTCATTGCTGTTACAGAAACAGGGACTATCAAATATCTTTATATACTTATATTTAATACTCCGTATTTTTCATTTTTCAATTTAACTTTTTTCATGCTTTGAATAAGAACTTCAATCTTAGATATTGCTACATAATTTGTAGCTGAAAATTTGCTAATACAATCTAACCAATTGATATAAAATGATATACTCCGTACTTATTATTCGATTAACCAACTTGTACATTCATTTAAGAATTACGTAGTACTCCCTCCGTTCTCTAATACTTGACTCTCTTTCCATTTTAGGATGTTCTCTATTAGTTGTCTCTCTTTCCACTTTTGGTAAGTTTTTTCAATAAATATACTCATTTACTCTCATTCTCTTTCCTACTTTTTCATTCTCTTTCCTACTTTTACCTTTACACACAACCCACTACACCTTTTATCCTACTCCCATCTATTAGAGAACGGAAGGAGTAATATTTATTACATAGAAAAATTAATGTTACTAACAAATTTGACTTTTTCTATTCAGCAGTAGTAGTAGGGATGGACCCGGGCCGGTCCGGTTCCGATTCCGGGCCAGGCCTGGGCGGGCTTTTTTTGCAAATTCATGGGCCCGGAACCGGCCCGAGTTGATACCGGGTCCGGGCCTAACCGGGCCGGGCCCGGTTCGATGTCTTTTTTTTTTTGCTTTCTTGTTATCCCCCTCCCCCCTCACCCCCACCCCCCAAACCTCCCCAAAACACCCAGCCCTAGCCTAGGAAAAGAAAAAATATTGAAAAAAAAAACCGGGCCCAGCCCGAACCGTCCGGGCCGGTTCGCCCAAAACTGGGCCCGAGCCCGGCCCGCCCGACCCGCCCAAACGGGCTAAAAGCCCGGAACCGGCCAACCGGTCCCGGTTCGGTCCGGGCCCAAACAGTACCAGGCCGGTTCGGCCCGGGCCGGCCCAGTCCATCCCTAAGTAGTAGTATGTGAGATGAAAGAACATCACAACACTATAACAAGTTATATTGTTACAAAAGATAACAATTAAAAGTTCCTTCCAAATATACTAAGACATTTTTGTAACCTGGAACAACCGCTATAATTATAATTACGCATAAAATAATTTAAGAGAGATCTAAATTGTTATAGGACAATTTCACACACACCCAATCACTAGTTAACAGATTAACGTAGTTAGAGAGAGCCTTATACAGACATACAGTTATTCTTGCTCGTTTTGGCAATGATTTGATAGCGTATCGCGTGAGAGATCGGTCTAGCTCTCTAAATCGTTGTACTCTACACCACGATACTAACAAACGATACTTGCAAATGATACTTGTACTTTAGCCGTATACTACTATATCTATTTTAAGTGCGAGAAAACTCACATCAAGGTGATCAAGGTCAAAAACAAATTAAATGGTCAGATTGATTAATCTTTTAAAGTAGACGTACTTATATGATACTTTTTTAATATAGGGGTTTAAGTGAAGGATTGGAAATAGTAAAACGCCATATTTGACCTTCTCCTTGGAAAAATCAATAGCTGAACATAATGTATTTCATATTCCAAATACCTTCAGAATAATTGTATTTACGAAGATATAGACAAAGCTATCCACAGCTTTCCTAACCCTCTAAAAACCTTCATCGGAACGGGCCATGAGAGTTTAAATCTCGAATGCCAAAAAAACATATATTGCCCAAACCCCGCTGGGATACTACTCACTAACTAACGTCTCTTTATGAGATTTTGCTGAACCAGCTTCAATATTATTGCAACGGCCAATGGTAATGCAGATTTTGCAGCAGAAGTCTGACTGCCATTCTCAAGCATTTTTATCGATACCTTCAAGAGCTGCCCAGAGTTTAGGATCTGCATAATCTTTGATCAGAAATGCAGGCTTTGCTTCCATCAGTAAGTGGGCAGGATTTTGGGTGGTCAAGCCAATAACTGGAACCCCAGCAGCCACACCAGCTTTTATTCCAGAAACAGAATCCTAAACACAAAAAGAGTAACAAAGTTCTAAACAATTCAGAAACCAGAAACTGCAGGGTGTAACCAGGATTCCTAAAATTTCAAATTCAGTGTGGGCAGGAAAAACCATTCATCAGGAAAAAAAATCAAAGTTCACACAAAAAAAACTAAAAAAGCATTCATGAAGAGATTCTCTCACATCAGCTAAGTATAAAATCATAAACTAATATACTACATTTAAGATATCCGGGTACAGGCTACTCATGTGATTTGGCCAAATGAAATATGAAATATGCACTCTATCTAGACATGATTGGGCTAGGTCGGGTTGCCCACCACAGGCTACACTAATGAATAACTGAACAAACCTCAAAAATGATGGTGTGATCCTTGGAAACTTTAAGCAATTCAAGGGCCTTCAAGTATGGGTCAGGAAATGGTTTGGCATGCTCACACTCACTGCCGACAATAACAGCCTCAAAGAAGTCTGCAAGGCCTAGAATTTGAATCATCAATTCAGCATTTGGCCTTGGTGCATTAGTAACTGCCGCACGTTTCAAACCATGATCTTCAATCCACTTCTTCAACTTGTATATGCCATCAATAGGCTTCAGATTTTCCTTCGCCAATCTGTACTATGAAGCCAAAGCAATTATGAGGCGGGAGTTGGGCATAGAGAAAAAGTCTGAAAGGGTATGTTGGATCCCACAAAATGCAAACAAAATTTTAAACATATTATGATACAAAGAAGGTTTGAATTTCTTAGTCTTTCTATGATGCAAATAAATATTAGGAGTTTGAACAAATATCTAAAAGCAATATATTCAGTTTGAGTCTGCCTTTGTATTTCCCCCCCGAAATTCTGTTCCGGTTATCTTCTCTATTTTCTTCTGACTCTTTTCCCCTTGTATTTTGTGTGTTCCAAACGGGCCAAAGGGTGAATCTAGAAAAAAGTAGTGACGTATGGGACCGCCTCACAATGAGATGGAACCAAAATTTAATATTTTAAGATTTGAAAGCAATTAATTAAAAAAAGAACATTTTTTTGGAAAAGTATTAGTTTACACTTTTAAATGAATACATTTTGGTCTGCCGGAAGCCCGGATTTTAATGTATTGCATTTTGGATAAATTCGATTATATGGAAATTTCCTTACTATTTGGTCAACTTTGATTACCTTCTGAATAGAGCTTCTTTGTCCTCACAAAATTTCACTCCCCTTGAATGATCATCAGGGAAAAGGAAAGAAGCAATGTCCTCATTATGTTTGCCAGCAATGTTATTGACAAAAAAATCCTCATCAATTGGAACACCACCATTGTAGCCTATCTGCATTAGGCACCCCAAAGTCAAAAATCAAAATTCATGAAACATTGTACTGCATGTCAGCTTCAAATAAGGAGAGATGAATATCTCATTGATTTATACAAGCCTCTTTAGTATAGAATGAATAGATCATACATACCTCCTGAAGCATTTCACGAAAGGCAAGAAGGTGGATTGGATCAGAGTCGCATAGAGTTCCATCAATGTCAAACAGTACTGCTTCAAGTGGAACAAGTCGAGCAAGACAAGACACACTGCCAATGAAGAATGCAGTCTAGGTTAGATCTTAATGTTCTTTTGCCTCCAATAATAATAATAATAATAGACTTATCAAACAAGAATGTGCTGCCTATATTCTATACACAGTTGTATACCAGCTTGTTTTCATTATACACATCATTATATCTAGTTAACACACTTTTCTGTTTAGCTACTTTCTCTTAATCTCTTGTACAAATATTTCAATTATACACTTCTTGAGATAAAAACTACCCATAGTTTTACAACGAACAGCCTCGTTCCAAATATGATAGGGAAATGTCAAAATGATTTTTGAACAAAAAATAAAGAAATTTTGAAAAGAAACTACATCAATGTCTACCCCAAAGCAATGTATTTTATATGCATCATCTACATTCCACAACAACTATACTCATCAAGTTCTCAAGAACATCAAGACAATAATGTATCAGTGAATCACAAAAATGTCCAAACAAGGACACAGCCTTTGCACACAAGAAGCATCGAATCGCATCGAAGAAATTATGAAAAGAAAAAGGGGAATAATAAAAAAAAGAATAATAATATTTGGAAATAGCGTCTCAGATATAACTTTGATTGGAATATAATACCACATATACGTGCAAAATCAAAAGAGAAAAACTGGAAATGACTATTTCCATCACCTGTCCATGGAGTTGCTCTACAAATGTCGCAGTTAAATCGAAGATTGTGTGTATGAAATTTGATCTTTTTGAGAAAATTAAGAATCAGATGTAGAGAGCGTCGGTCATATGGAGAGCAATGAAAGCCATGAATATGAACAGACGAAAAGAATCTTCCAAAGCAGCATATTCTCCGTTTCTTTCTAATTAGTACAAAAACAAAATGTTTACTTTTAACATTTAATACATTTATTCTTATATTAATAAAAAAAATTAGAGTTTTTTCCCGAAATAATGCTAATTAAATAAATAATTCTCAAAATACTGTTGGGTTTAAAATAATTCCTAAAACACTGTTGGGTTAACCGTGATTAAGAAAATTCAACACTTGAAGTGACAACTCTTCTCTTATAGTACAAAAGCCGTCACTTCAAGTGGCGGCTCTTCTCTTACGACACATTGTGTACATATATAAAACGCAGTATGTTTCAAGAATTTGTTTAACTGTCTTCCCGATTGAATTTTGAGTTGAAATTTGATATGCATAAACTAGACTTGATGAGGAACATGCTCAAAACATTTCGTCAAAAAATTCCTTCAGGAAGACCCTCTGATGGTGTTGTCCGCAGGGTATTCCGGTCAGGACGTCATGATAAAAGGGTGGTCCGGCCACCTCAATTTTAGGTGATTCCCGGTGGTATGTTTTGATGAAATTTTTTGTGTATGTTCTTCATAAAGTCTAGTTTATACATACTAAATTTGAGAAAAAACTTCAATCAGAAAGACTGTCAAATGATTTTTGAAAGATAACTGCGCCGGATTATACATAAAACGCAATTATCTTTAAAAATCATTTGACTGTTTTCCCGATTGAAATTGGTTCTTAAACTTGGTATGGATTAACTGTCCTTGATGAATAACATACACAAAAAAATTAAGCAAAACATACTGATAACCGCTTACGCGGCGTTGTAGTAAAACGGAGTCTAACCTTTCGGGTTTTCCCCGAGTATCGTGTCTCTTGAGAAATGGCGGAGGAGTTTCTTGATTTTAAATCCAGTCACAGGTTATCGCAAATTATTGGAAGCTTTCCAAATTAAAACTTTTGATTGATTTTCTAAACTAACTTTTGAAAAAGAAAGTAAATTAGATTATGCAAAACACTAATAATGGTTCAAAATAAACTAAATGAAAAATATAATATTAAACTCTAAATGGATTGATCAAAGAAGGACAATGAATTGAATTATAAAATATGGGTACATCCTTTTAGCTTGGATCAAAGATTGGACTCGTAATTTCTTTTCTCATTGACAAGATTTAAGTTACTTTCACTAATTTATCCTATTTCTAGGCTTCATTAATGTGTTTAAAATGGTTGGCCTAAATTATATTCTAATCTCATAGACAAGATAGATATAATTTTCCGCATTTTAGCTAACAAAATGGTCAACTTCATTAATTAATTATATTTCTCATATTAAACAATTGAATTTATTCCTCATAGACAAAGATTAAATTCTATCCATTAATTTATCCTATCTCTAGGCTTCATTAATGTGCTCAATATGGTTGGCTTAAACTATTTATAATCTCATAGACAAGTTATAATTAATCTTCCAAAGTTTAATTAATGAAATGACGAATTCTATTAAGTAATCAAATTAATCATTTTAAATAACTAGTCCATAAAACTAGTTAAACTCCTAATTTTCAGTCAAACAAGGTCAACCCATATTCTTTAATTCAACTCATGCCCAAGAGTAATTAACTACAACAACTCATTACTAGTTTTAACACTTTACATATAAAATAAGACATTATCATAAATAATAACAACAAAAGAAAATATTAAAGTGAATACTCTCAACATCTAAACTTTCTTTTCTATCACAAATAAACATCATTTATACTAGGTATTGAGTTTATCTAAGTAGGAGATTAATATAACAACAAGAACTATTTTTCTTGAATAAATATGGAAAATACGAAATTCTTAAAATTAATTCAGAGAATTTTTAAAAAATATTTGGGAAATAAAAACAACATATTCAGAATCTACACGAAGAGAAGATGAATTTTCATATAAAGAACTTACAAATTGGAGCTAAAATGAGAAAGATATGAAAGATTGAAGTTGAAGATCCAACAATGGTGGAAATCCGAGCTTTGAGGAGGAAGACACCCTTTTTTATCTGAGTTGGGTGTGAGATGGTGTGTTTTGAGTCGGGGTTGGAAGAGAGCTTTTATAGCTGGAATTTTGTGGAAGGAGGCCAGAAGGGCGGCCGCCCTCCGGCCATGGTCGGCAGCCTTCCATCAATTCACCGACAAAGCTACGTGCACGCGTCAAATCCGCCGTAGGCGCCCGTGGAGGACGGCCGCCTATTTGGCCGCCTCCCATCTTGTCTCAGAGACCGGCAGCTCAAAAGTCACATCGTGCCGCAGGCGGCCACGGAGGGCGGCCGCCTTCCGGCCCTTGTGGGCAGCCTTCCATTATTTTGTCGCCATGCAAAGCCCTGTGTGCTGAAACTGTCAAAAACTCGTAGACGCTCAGAAAGGCGGCCGCCTTATCGACCGCCTCACGTCAAATGGAAAAGTTTTCTTCACCAAAGTTGTAGATCTATTTCTTGGATAACTACTGGTTTTTGAATTACATTTATTGGATTTGTAGTTTATGAGATATGACCAAAACGGTGAGCATATGTCACTTTCCATCGCAACTGCAAATGTCTGACTTCTTTGAGCAATATGTCCATTCTACGATTGTTATTTGGTTATGTGTTCTTCATAAGAGTTGTAGAGCAAGAAGATTTCAATGTAATTCAACTCGTATCACGAACGTTGAGAAATCATACGCAAAGTTATGATCACAATATGAACATGTGTCTCTATGCATCGTCCATTTTCATCAAAAGTGACCATATAGGCGACTTCCTTTTGGTTTTGAACTTCCTTTCATGATTTTTTCATCTCGTGGACTCTTCTTTTTGAAAAATTGGTCAACATATCTTTCAAACTTCTGTAGCAATTCATTTGTTGGGAAAAGATGTCACTTTCTTCACGCAATTGACCCGAAATTTCGCCAAACATATTATGAATGCGGTTTTCACCTGATTGCATGAAACTTGAACCAAAATATCTAAAACATGTCTTGTTTTTCTATTTTCTATCTGAAAATCGCTCAAAGAATGATGAAAAAAATAAGTACAAAAATGGACTTATCACATAACACTGGGAACCACTTCAAATTGAGGTGGCCGGACCACCCTTTTGTCATGACGTACTGACCGGAACCCCCCGCGGACAACACCATCAGAGAGTTTTCCCGGTGGAAGTTTTTGATGAAATGTTTTGAGCGTGTTCCTCATCAAGTCTTGTTTACGCATACCAAATTTCAGCTCAAAATTCAATTGGGAAGGTAGTTAAAAAAATTCTTAAAACATATTACGTTTTATATATGTACAAAATGGATCGTAAGAGAAGAGCCGCCACTTGGAGTGTCGGCTTTTGTACTATAAGAGAAGAGCCGCCATTTCAAGTGGCGGCTTTTCTTAACCACGGTTAACCTAACAGTATTTTGGGAATTATTTTAAACCCAGTAGTTGTAACACTTGAGATTTAATATAAACGGATTAATAGTACTACTCATACCAACAGAGGTGCATCTCCTTTTAAGGGAGCTCATCACCCAAGAACTCCAAAGTTAAGCGTGCTTGCACGGGAGTAGTCTTGGGATGGGTGACCCCTTGGGAAGTTTCTCAGGGCGCGCATGAGTGAGCACAAAGTGCGCGGTAAAGGCTCGTGGTGGTTTGTGGGGACAGTACTAGAGGTCTAGAGTAACTACCTCGGGTCCGGTGGGGCCGGGGTGTTACAGTAGTATTTTGGGAATTATTTATTTAATTAGCATTATTCCGGGGAAAAACTCAAAAAATTAAATATTCAAATTTTGAAACTTCATAGAATGTTTTTAATTTGACTAATATTTTCTGGTCTGATCTTATCTAGTTTAATTTAGTCAAGTATGATCTGAACTAGTATGGTCTGGTTTAATTTGACTTCATCAATGATTCAATGTGTATCTTATAATTGTCAATATTTGGATTGGTCTAATCTATTTAAATTTGGCCTAATCTAACCTATTTAAGCCGATCTGATTTTATCTTGTCTGATCTAGCGTAGAACTAAAATCAATCAATGTAAAAATATCTACACTGACGAATTTAAAAATATTTTTCAAATTTGTTTTGCTTGGATAGGAATAAAAATCAATCAATATTTTTCAAATATTTTTCAAATTTGTTTTGCTTGGAAATGATCTTATGTATAGGGGTAAAAATGTAAAATGATAGTATTAACGGAAAAATAACTAAAATACCCCAAACTTTGAAGGGGTGTGAGATGAACACCCACCCTAAACTTGCATATGTATTTTAAAGAGAAAAGGGACAAATAAGCCCTCGAACTAACCGAAAAAGTGCAAATCATCCCTTTTATAGGAGGCTCTATCTAGACGTCGCCATTTGAGGCAGTTCCCGATGGCATTTTTTGATGAAATGTTTTGAGAACTGTCTTCATTAAGTCTAGTTTACTTATACCAAATTTCAGCTAAAACATCAATCGTGAAGGCAGTGAAATAAATGTTTGAAGATAACTGTGAAGTTAAACAACGCAATATATTTCAGAAAATCATTTGACTGCCTTTCCGGTTGAATTTTTACTTGAAATTTGGTATGGGTAAACTAGACTTAATGAATAAATTTTTCAAAAACAATCATCAAAAAATTCTACCGGTAACCGTCCCAAATGGCGATGTCCAGACAGAGCCTCCTATAAAAGAGGTGATTTGCACTTTTTCAGTTAGTTTGAGGACTTATTTGCACATTTTCCCTATTTTAAATACCCCAAACTTTATATATAAAGTTATTTTGGAACCAAAGTCAAGTATTATTTAATTCAAAAATGTAAATTTATGGTGTTAATTTCATAATTTAAAATATTTTTAGAATTCATGAAGACACAATTAACATTATAAACTACCATTGCAAAAATAAATAATGTTATCCTCAATCTATATAATTACAAAAATTTTTAATTTTCTATTTTTAATTATGCAATTAACCCCATAAATTTACATTTTTGAAAGAAATACTACATAACAATGGTGTGAAAATAACTTTTTATATAAAGTTTGGGGTATAA